ACTATAGACAGTATTTAATGAAAAGATGATAATTTAATTCCCCAAATAGCTGATCATTTCGACTTTGGTCATTTATAAATCTACAGAATTATATGTATTAGCGAATTAACACTTCACAATTCATATTCGCTTCACATCTGTGGTCAGTAGTAAATAAGCCGGACGAAGATTTCAATTTTCCTACCACGCGCTAACTGTCAACGTTTTCCACGCCAGATTAAAAATACGTTGGAAAAAATACTTTTCAAACAAGCCTGCCCCGGTTCGTTATGAACCCATAAACGGTTTAAAGTTATTTAGGGCTAAAAATATCACCGCTATCCAACAAACCCGCAGAACATAACTATAATATATAATAAAATAATCTACACAAACAACCATTTCCATGATAATGATTAATCGTTAAAAAGAAACTGTAAATATTTTACCACATTGATATAAATTCAGCTTTTGGTCTATACATACGTATAGAAGATAGACAGAAGACAGGATTTGTTACACAGGATGGACATTAAATATGTCTATAGTTTACGCGATAGTACAATTTAAATAAAACATTTAACGGTTTAAAACGATATATTAGTTAAACTTATTTGAAAATGATTTTTAATTCCAGTTTGATCTTTGCAGCAGCCTGGTCACGGAGACCACCTGCTAAAGATCAATCAATAAATCATTTTCAAATAAGTTTAACTAATATATCGCGTTTTAAACCGTTAAAGTGTTTTATTTAAAAGGATGGAATTATCAATGGACTCTTCGGAAAATACTATTTCCAGAATTTATCTAATTATTAAAATAATATTTGAAATACTGAGTATATCGATGTTTATATTTTCACAGTCATTGAAAAATTTAAATTTTATAATTATATAATAAAATTCTTCGTTTCTCTGCATAAACTTGCCATGCCTTACGAATATAACAAAACCAACCTTTTAATAAATTGTGCAGCCATATTGCTGTGAATTTAAGCGATCGCAACACGAAACTATTCAATATTAAACAAAGCCAAGCCTGCAAACAATTTTTCACAAAACCGACACTTTGAGGTGTGGTTTCCTTAATAAAATATATTTTTAAAAGCTCGTGATTACGTTTGTCTGTCGTTGTTAAAACTTTTCACATAAATACAGTAGAATCGCATTGCAAGTAAAAGCAATTACAACGCTTATAAATGACAATCCGTAATTGGCCCCATTTATTGATTTACCTAACATAACAAGGAAAACTCTGTTTAGAAATCTATAAAACTTACATTTACAGTTTGCCAAGCCTCAAAACGAACCGAACGTTAAATTCGCGGTATGCCCGAAAAAACAAAGTGAAAGCTAATACCGAATAATTGGAACAAGGTCAAACGTCGGAGGCGAAGCCTATGCAGCGGACGGTCAAAATCGATATATTCTAGTATAGCAAGCAATAAAGAACAAGAAAATTACAAAGTATTCGTTCACCTCAAATCGAATCAGCTTGTAAACTTTTTCACGGCCTCGAAGATGAAGGGAGCAAGTTGAAAATGTGATTGATTGATAAGATATTTTGTCGCTTATTTCCTGTTAATAAACTGCACATGTCTAACGCGCGTATGCATCTTTAACACTGAAGACATTTATTGGTTGCGAGGTTTATTGCCATCGCCGATGTATTATTTTCGAGGCCGCTGTGGCGCGCCTTTGTGTAAAATTTAAAAAACATCGACGGAAATCGCTATATTGGAAAGCCTTTACAACTTACGTTTTACGAGAAGTTCAACTCAAGATGACGTTTACGAAATAGCTTAGTTGATGGAGCAACAGCACGGAACACTATCATGGTCGTGAGTACGAGTCCAATTCGTGTCATTGATATTCTCTATATTATTATAGTTTACAAAAAAATTTTGCTAATTAAGAATAATAATAAAAATATAACAGACACAACTGATTTATAGTTTAAGCTATAAATATATTGAAGGTTGTTTTTAACTAATTAAACTTAATTTTTATAACCAAACATACACATAAGTACTTCTTATATTATCGTGTTATTATTACGACGCCATAGTCTGGAGGATCATACATATGCTACATTGCCTTGGACCTGCATTTATTGGTTGTAACTACCAAATTTAAAAGTGTGTGAAATCCCGTTTCCCCTTTGTGGGGCATGGGGCAAACACATTTCTGAGTCCATTTCACTGATCCGTTCTTAAAGAGGCAAGTAGTTGATCAGACTTCTGTACCCTGCCCGACTGAAACAATTTTATCTTTCCCTGGGATTCTAACCCATAACCTCTCGTGCTTAACGCAATGCTAGGCAATACATTTAACCGTTTGGCTACAGAGGCGGTTACCAAATTTAAAGCACTACCAAATCTCATAAAAAGTTAACATTAATTTACATTTTGCGCTAAACGCAATTTCGTACTACTAAAAATAGACTCTCTTTGGAAGGGTAGGTTTTACATGTACACTGTACAGTAATTAATTAAGAACGAACCATAAAACAACAAGTAATTTCATTTTATTCCTTTCTGAGTCTTTAGGCTATAATTGTACGTCGATTAAAGCAGATATTAAACATACGATTAACATTTCGGTAATTAGTCAGTGATTACTTTTATTGTAAAAAATCAAAAGTGTATTCAAAGAGCTCTATGTTTATTAAACTATTACGTACTTATTTAGTATAAGGCTCTAAATTATATGTAATTTGTCCTTCCTTCTTTATATATTTGTATGCTACATTGTTCTATATATTTATATTATTAATTAACACTTTGTTTCAGCCACGATACTAATAAACTAATATTGAGTGCAATGGGCAGCCTTACTGCCAACGAGCGATCTCTTCCAGGCAACCCAGGATGAAAGAAAAATAAGTTATAAAGGGTTTTTATAGTAGTGTTTTGGTATATTTTAAAATAAATTGTTTACAATACTGTCTATATTTTACGCGAGTAGCACACATTTAAATAACATTACGTTTAAAACCAATTACTTTGATCTGATTTACTCGCCCCGTGTTTATCCTTTGCGCGAGCACAAAAACCAAAAGTATACATCTAAATAAAATAATTGTTCAAAGCATGTTGGACTGGAAATCTGAATATTAAATAGCTAGTATATCAAAATTACATCCGGGTCACAAACCACCGACCACAAGTGAAAAAGCTGTCAAGTTTAGTCGCGTTTCGGATTCAGTTTCGGAACAGCACATCTAATATGCAAGTCATATGATTATTTTACTTATCACATATTAACACTATGGCCGTCTCTCCTCCGCTATCATAAAAAAATAACTCAATATGAAAACTTACCGACAGCCCAGGATTGCAGCCCGCCGTTATTGAGTTCTTCCGAAACTTCGGCACGCAGATCTGCATCGAACTTTTCCCTTTGGGCGGCCCCGCACAGCCGTATTCATCGCTTCGATCATTCCTCGTCAAATTAATATTGTTCGTATTGTTGACTTTCACCAGAATATTACAAGTCTGCGAGGCGATCTGAAAGAGGCCTTCCTCTAGGTTCCTTTTATTCTGATATTGTCTGTTGAAGTGTAAGTAGTCCCACCACGATGGCATTTCAAAAAGCGCGGGGAAAAAGTTATTGGTTAGGCGTTGCGCGACCGACCGCGTAGACTCGTGTAGCACTTTTGACAGGGCACGCTCGTCGTTCGCAAGTAAATTCGAATATCTAGGACCTGCGCTGTAAACTTATATGAACTCCAACATCGTACTTTATTTATCACTGTTTTCCAAGTCAATATAGATCTCTGTTGCCTTATGTTTCTCTCGGGAGTGCTTTTAACAGAGCAAATACTAGTTTCTTAAAGTAAATAGAAAAATGTTTAAGTTGTTACGTGACGGTTTTCAAAGTATCATTAGTTTCTAGTTAATATTTTATGCAAACCTTTTTTATTTGGATCCTTTCTTTGATGCAAAAAAGTAACTGAAGGGAGGAAAATAAATATGATATTAATTTACTTTTATCTGTTCGCAATAGATATTATAAATATAATCTTTAATAATAATCTATGGTAATTTGATTATATCAGGTTTAATATATAAATTAACACCTAGTAAATCTTGTTAACAATGTAAATTCAATTTAAGGTATATTATACTAGTAAAAGTTGTAAAAACAATTAATTGTAAAATATAACTAAGATGGCCGTTTAAAAAATAGAAGTAAAGAATAGTTTAATCTATGCGTACCATAGATTAAACTAATTTTTATTTTTATTGCCATCCCTAATAGGTATTTAACTGTTTACACATTTTGAAGTCATAATGTCATTTTACCTTTTACGTTCGTATTTGAGGATATCGACCTTCAAGAATACTATACCGTGTGTAAGCTCTCATATTTGTGCTGTAGTCTACAGAGGATAGGTATTAATGCCACGACATGCAATAAAACTTTACTTTTACGACTCCTATCGCAGTAATACGGCGAAATTTCCGCCGTAATGACACGGCTGTTCTCTTTACCGTTTTCTGTAATGATTATTTTAAGGACGGTGTTAATTTTAATGATTCGCATTTGCTGATCCCATTTGATTGTCTTTTAGGTATACACCCAGTAATAATCTTTGATACAGGATTTAGGTAAAACTTATTATGTTGTTTGAATCCGACCGCCTTTGAATGGTTAAACGCGTTTGTGCAAGAGGTTCACGGTTCGAAACCCGGGTTAACAATAAAAATTGTCAGTTTGGTAGAGCATATTAATACTAATAAATTAGAATAAACTTTGATGTGCGAAAACATCTGCCAAATGGGGATGTTCATATGTCAAATTGCATATTTCCTCTTTGGCATGCAACAGGGAACCATGCTGCTGCTCTAACTTAATAAGCAATTGATAAGCCTGTTGGAGTCCCAACTCCACCATGATTTTTTTTTTCAATCTAAATTGACTTTAAATTTATATAATGCCATCACACACAACAACTTGTGGAAAAAATAAATTTTGACTTGAATACAGTTATTTATTGCTCTTACATAAGGTAACTCATTATAATTCACTTGCATCTTTCATTTCAACATCCTCAGAATTGAGATCTATATCATCAGGTTCATCTAATAGGGCTTGTAGTTGGTGTATTGAAGTGACTAAGACGTGGAATTGCTTTTTCCTTGACGCTAATTTACTTTCCAGTTGCTGTTTTGACGTTTCTAATGTACTTAACTCATTTTTCAAAGTACTCAGTTGTTCTAGGGTCTCTTTTCTATCTGGTTGCTCACTGATAACTTTTGCTAGTACATCATACTCAATTCGGTTTTTCCTGACCGTTTTGGCTTGTGCGAGATCTGCTTTGCTCTTTTCAATAGTCGTTTTGGCTACTTCTATGCCATCCTCAAGAATCTTAGATAAGTTTTCATAGCTTTTTAGCTCTGCTGCCATCATATCCGCACCTAGTTGAGATTTTGTTACAGCAAACTCACACTGAGCTAGTTGTGCTAACATTCGGTCATGAGTTGATTTACTGAAATAATGAAAAAGGCATTTAAGTAATAAAATAAAATTGATAGTTAAAATCTTCTAAACTAACTCTTACATAGAACTATAGTTATAAAGAGTCAAATGCTTTTCTAGCAAAAAACACATATAACAGTGTCAATTTAATTTTTTGCATCTAGTTGTAAGTTATAAAGTAGTATATAATATATACTTTTTCTATATTAGACAGATAGTTTTAGTGTGACAATGTATACAAAATATGAAATATATAAAAAGAACTCCTTGTGTATCTTTTTGCTTACCTATCTTCTGGTTTTTCGTCAGTAGCATTGCACCATTTAATTAAAGTTTTTAACAAGACATTCAGTCTTCTATCATCTCCAGTACCATCGCCGTCGATTAACAGCCGTCTACGTATAACATCCTCTGTAATAATATGTGATTTAAAATATCATTAAGTACAACATAAACACTTTATTAACGATGTATAAAATTTAACGTACCGTCAGCCATTTTTCAATTATTATACTTTTTTTTCAATAATTAATACAGCCCTTTCTTAACTACTTTAACGTGTTTATGTGATATTTATGTTAATTGTTTTTAGGTTAAATCTTGATGATCTAGCCGTACACAATAAATCAAAACAAAACAAATTCACCCAGTCTATGGCAGAGACCACAAGTCGGCGAGTAGGTATTATATATTTTTATGAATTTAACGTTGACAACTGACAAACGTGTCATATAATATTATAACAATTAACATTAACGAAAATAATCGGAATAATTTCGCCAATCGCCATCGGGTTTTGGAATATTTATTTGGTTTTCTAAAAATTATGGCCGATTATATGAAATACAAAGAATTTAAACTACTCAGCATATGAGGGACTAGGCAAAAGATAAATAATTACAATGGAGAATGAAACTTTCAGTGAAAAAGTCGAGGCGTATTTTTCCGAGCTAGGGCGATGGTATTAATATTTTGTTTACCGTACTTTAATTTATTGAATCTGGTTAATTAAGTTTAAATCATCTGTTTTTGTTTCAGGAAAATCTGGCGCAGTATAGGACTAGGTCAAATATTGTCAATGCTATTGAGTGCGAAATGTATTTTTACGACCCTTCTACAAAGTGCAACCTGGCAGTTTCCGACCACAGCCCAGCTCGTTATTCCATATTTAACGCTGTTTATTTTATTCATGCCGACAATAATTTGTAATGGCATTAATAAACTATCCAAGTAGGTTTTAATTCAGATTACAAACTTGCTGCTAGAACACCACTACACTCCCACATTGCTACCACAACAGCCAGTAAAATATTTTTCACCCAAGTGTATTGTCTTTTTTGTCTTTGTTTTTTGAAGTATTTGGTATTAGCTATATGTATTATATTAAGCAACTTAGTATGACCTAAGAATTCATAAAAGGTGTCTTAATAACATTAATCATTTTAGGAAATGGTGGATAGTTCTACTAGCCTGTGTCCTTGATGTGGAAGCTAATTGGCTACTGGTGTTGTCTCAGAGATTCACATCTGTACTGAGCTGACAGTTGTTAGCCTGCAGTGGTGTTGGGGCTGCTTTGGTAGGTGGTGCTTGGAGAGGACAAAGGCTTGGTGTGGTGCATGTAGCTGGGGCCACCCTTGGTCTAATGGCCGTAGTTTGTGTTGTCTGGGCAGATGTGGAAGGTGCACCCACAGATGGTAAGGTTAAGCCTTTTCTGTGATTGTGGAGTGAGGATTTCCTTCATAATATACATATAACATTAAACATTTCATTTTTAAAATAAAGTATTTAATAATTCAAATTATATTAATAGAAATATGTAGTTGTTTATTGGTTACTAGATCTTTGACACCAAAATCTTAAAAAAAATAAAATTAAAAGATTATTATTGTAAGTTTATTAGTTATTTTATTAAAATAACTATTATCTTTTTTTCTTTAAATGAGTTATATAACAAAGAAACTACTTGTTCTAGGTAAAAATCAGCTAGTTGGAGACATGTTATGCCTCGGTGGATCACTGCTTTACGCCTTAGTTACTGTGCTACAAGAAATAATGCTCAAGACCCAGTCCTGCTCTGAATATCTTGCATTTCTAGGCCTAATAGGAGGCACACACGCCTGTCTTCAAACATTTTTTCTAGACTTCAATGATTTAGTAACATTTTATTGGTATGAAGTGGAGACTATATTCCAATTGGGAAGTTATTGTTGCATACAGACAATCTTTCAGATATTACAAAGTTTTATGTTGAGAGATGCTGGCTCAATAATGTTGCATTTATCCTTCTTGTCGGCAGATTATTATACACTTATTGCGGGGATGTTTATATTTCAATTTAAGGTGAGGTTTTAGCTTATATTGTTTCTAGCATTGTACCTTGTTTTGACAATATAGCTTGGTAACTAAGGTATATCAGGCAATAATGTCTGTATTTTTATTCTTATACAAATATAAGATGCTCTTATCTAGTTAAGAAGTAGTATTTTGTTTCATAGAAGCCAAAACCCTCTTTTTTCCCATCTTAAACCTCAACGTATATATTCCATGAGATTAAATAATATTTTTAATTTTAGTTTCACGCGCTGTATTTCCTCTCGTATCTTCTGGCGATGGTGGGCGTTTTCCTCTTCAGTTCGCGTGCGACTAGCGTACCTCCGGTACCAGCTTTACTGCCGCAGCTAGTTAATGATACTGTTCACTCGCAGGACAACGTTTCTATGTAAGTATTACCATCAATAATTTGAATATTTTGCCCTGGTCAAATTTGTTACAGCTTTGTTAAAGCACATTTAATTTGTATCATTATTGGAAAAAATTGTAGATAGTTGATAAAAAATGATTATATATTTTCAGGGAATATGCAGTCCCAACCCTTGATTGCATTCCACTGTCAGAAGGACTTGAACCGCCCATGAGTAGAGATACAACATTCACATCCTTCCTTGGAGGAACTCAAAATAACATGTCCAACGGAACTGTAACATTCGCTTTGAGCAGTGGACAAAATGGTAAAGATTAATTAGATTTAGCATGCTATATGCAATATACTAAATTTGGTACAACCAATGGGAAAAACTATTATTTATATTAATGAAAAGCAATGTTTTCTGAAATGGTACAGCTTTATTTCACTGTTGAAACATATTGGAGAGATTTGAACTATGGATTTGTTATATTTAAAAGATTATATCATAATTATATTTCCCCCAAAAGTCCACAATTCACAAACATTTATTTTTAAATCTCATAGACTCAATTATAACAAGAGATTTTTGTAGGTTTTCCTAACTTATAGACCTAGTTGTAGATTATCTTAATAGTGAATAATATAGCACAATATACTCAGTATTTACTATTCTAGTCAAAATATTTATTGCTTTTGAATAATACTCCAATAGATTTAGAAAAAAACTGCTGTCTTGAGAAATTTCTATATTATTAAATTAATATAATTCTCAAAACAGCAGTGCCAAAGACCAGTACTAACCCCCCCTAAGGTTTTTAACGGTAACTGCCATAATCGAATTTTACTCAAGTATATTGAAATTTTATTACGAAATTTTAAACCTTTAGATGATATTTCTAGAACTAAGTTAATTCGATATTGAGAGAGAACAGTATATTAAGGTATATAGATTGTACGGTGTGCGATTAGAAAATGTATCTCGAAAATTTGAAGCCTAATATTTTTCCATATTGCTAGGTATTTATCAAGCCCAATATTTTTCCAGAATGTCACAGTATTTTCAAATTGAGTGTATCAACCTTCAGTACCTTTGATATACTTAATTTGATAATAACCATGTTTTTTAAATCTGGATAGATCTTGCTTCCTGCAATTCGTGTTTACAGTGGGCATAAAAATCCTTGAATAAGTAAATAATATTATGATAATATTGTTAGGAATTGAATAGACATGCAAGTGCTAAATTTAAATATATGGTACAGCTCTATATTCTAAGTGAGGAATTTTCCGAGGATAATTATTTTGAGACAACTAATCACTACGTTTTAGCAACAATATATTTAACATATTATCTTAAACTATTTACTTAACGTTATAACTTTAATTTTACTGTTCCTATCACTCAATTTTTAAATCTGTTTGTATTATTATCGTTAACATATTTTTGCCTATATCTTTACTGCGGAGTGCAAATTTTTAAGCCCTTGTTGAACTGTTATCAAATTGTGCTTTTATATTTTAGTATCGTTACTCTTTGTATTAATGAAGCGGTTTTTATGTCCGTTAACGCGTTTAAATGTATATGTTATGAATTATTAAACAATAAAGAGACAGCTTTGATAAGATTCTGAACTTTGATATAAACTGTTGTTTTGTCTCTTTCATAGGCACTGATAATTGACCAATAAATACGTTTAAAACCATTCCATATGTTTGATATTTCTTTTTTAAAGCATTAAGGAGTCTTTTATAATTTATCAAAGCAATAACGTCGCACATTACTTCAAAGCACATGATATGTAATGTTCTAGTGAATACTGTAACGGTTGTGTATAAACTTATATTAGTTTTATTACATGGTGCGGCTTTAAACTGTGTTTTGTTCATATATATTATACACCAACAACCAGAATGATTTATATTTCTAGGTATAAATATATATGAATTTATGAAAATCATGTTTGTCCATTCTTCTACACTTGCAGTATAAAGAATATAGAATATGCTTTTATTTCTGTGGACAAATTGTAGGCTTCTGTACCAATTGAATGACACAAACTGCTTAGCACATACTTGGTAAACCAATATAAAGATTTACGAAATTTATTTATCATTGGAAGTATTGTAAAGGATAATAAGTATGAAAGTAGAATGTTTACTGATATCTTTTGAAATAATTTTACTTAATGCATGTAACAATCTTTAGATTGTATCCTTACGTATAATAAATTATACAATATTTATAAAATTGTATTATTAATGTTGTCCATTAACATATAGATACATATTGTACATTTATCTACAAGCACAAACTATGAAAAACCAGACTTTTGTTTTTCTTGTTCCCATTTTATTTATTAGGTAATAAACTATGGAAGGACATTAAATGAAAGTATATTTATAAAACATAACACTTTTATTATGTCTGTGTATTATGGTATATAATAATTATATACCCATTCAAGCCACTCTAATAATATAAACCGATGTATGTCAGTAGTAAGAGATTACACATCAGAAGAGACTAAAGACGTCAGAATTTAACTTAGATTCTGAATTATATGAACAATTTGTGTGTACCAATAGTCAAGTTGTATTAAAAGAAAAGTAATTTAAAGAAATGCAGTTTTTAGGAAAAGATAGAATAACAAAAAAAAATTAAGAACTCCTGTTCATGATTACTACATTTATAATAATGAACGGCATTGGTTATATTCACAAAACTCCATTCACAACTTTAATACAATTAAATTAAAATTAGTCGACGAGATACCTTAGGTAAATAATAATTATATACAAGTCTAAGCTTCATCTTCGCTCGCCGAAACAGACTTCCTAGATTCGGGTGTTTCTGGCCTGGAATTCCTAGATCCAGAACGGGATCTAGAACCGGAACGAGAACGAGATCCAGACCGACTGCGAGATCCACTCTTCGAACGCGATCTAGATTTAGAACGGCTTTTGGACCTAGAATAAACAAGAAGTTAAATTTTTAGATGCTAAATAACAAGTCCTTCGGTTGGGCAGGCTGTCCACCAGGCTACCCCATGCATTCAGCTCATAGTAAATAAATCAACATGAAGAATTACCTTGAACGAGATCTAGACCGACTCTTGGACCTAGATCCACTCTTAGAACGGGACCGACTCTTCGAACGAGATTTGCTCCTAGATTTGGACCGACTCCTTGACTTGGATCGACTCCTCGATTTAGATTTGGAACGACTTCTCGATTTAGAACGGCTTTTAGATCTAGACTTCGATCTCGATCCGCTCTTAGATCTAGAACGGCTCTTGGATCTTGAGCGGCTTTTAGACCTGGAACGACTCTTGGCGGAGCCTGACCGAGATCGACTTCTTGATTTGGATCTACTTTTAGATCGCGATCTGAAAATAATATTAGGATTGCGAAATAAATATTATAATTTTGCTTAAATTATATTTGAGATAAAAAGTGATCTTTTATTGTACTACTTTATAATATTTTGTTATTAAAACTGCAATTAATTAATTTTCCAAGTGCACAAAAAACATACCTATCGCTATCAGAAGCGGACATAATTCTCTTCCGGCCTTTATTAGCCGGTGGACTGCGACTACCGCTCCGACTGCGACTGCGGCTGCGGCTACGACTACGCGACTTGCGACTAGCGTCCGAATCAGATTCAGACGTAGAAATAGTCTCCTTTGAAACAATCTTCAAACGCTGCTTAGCACCAAGCTTATCTTCAGCCATTTTTGCCTTCTCACGCCGGCCAATACCCTTTTCGCCCTGGAATGGAAAGAAATTGAAAAAAGGCTTTCGTGGTCATTTTGCAAAGCTCCAATGAATGATTGAGTGAGTCAATTGGAATATCAAACACTCGTGATTGCGATACGTAGAGAAAAGATTACCTAATTACGACGGTCGAAAAGCTCAGAAATATAGATAATACATGTTAATAGCTACCTATTGAAGCTATGAATCAAGGAAGAATGTTTTTAAATATATTCAATTCAGGAAAGAATCTTACCCGCTTTTTGCCGCGCTTGCGAGGTGGATCGCTGTCGCTTCCGCTTCCGCGGCGCTCGCGAGTTTTGCGTCCGCGTTTCTTGCCTTCACCAGCTTCGCGCTTACGTTTACGCTGCTTAGGTTCGCGTCTGTAAAGGTATTATATGTTATCGACTTAAGGATTTTTGTAGTACAAATATTTACTTCACTTTTTTAATGATTTAGGAGTAGTCTTTCTTCATAACTAATATAAATGTCGAATTTATGGGTCCTAAAACACGGCGGTTTCCCGAGCATGATTTATCGCTAGAAAAGTAATCTAATACCGCGTAATACTAATAAATAACACGATAGATGTCTTCGTAAAAGAAGTACAGATGCCACTTACCCCTCCTCCCTCGGCCGATCGCTACCGCTACCCGAATCCGAAATATACTCGTCTCGCCTCCGACCACGCCCCTTCGGTTTGCTCTCAGTTGGCATGTCTGCGAACAGTAGCGCGTTCTTCGTTTTCTCCTTGAACTCCTGTCGCTTCTGTAGCATTTCCACTGTGCTCTTCGCTTGTTCCTCTTCGCGACGTTTCCTCTCATCTTCCTGTTGATCAAAGGTGGTTCAAAATAATTGCTACCATTAGACCAACGAGCCCGCAAATTCATTCATTTTTGTTGGGGTTGTAAACCCCTACACATTTTTATCTTTCTTTATTACTTGTTATTAATATAGGCCCTATATTAAAAGCACAAACATTATTTTATCAATTGGTACCTGTTGTCTCCTGAACGCCTCCCTCTGTTCGCGCTGTCTGTCGCGCAGCGTGACCTCCTCTTCATGCTGCCTGCGCGCACGTGTCACGTGCCATTGCGCCTGCGACAGTAGATCTGCACATGTACGAGCTTCGGCTTCTGCCGCGACCGTTTCGTATCGCGCACGCTCCGTTCCTTCCGCTAAGCGTTGGAAGTATCTGCGGACATAAACGACATACCGTATATATTTGAATTATTTATTTATGAGGCTAATTCATAGCTTTATGTACAGCATGAGTGCGTCGCTTGGTTGGTATGTGTAAAAAAAAACGGCAAGACACACAAGAATAAGGGCGATGTTTCATATAAACTAGTCAATGCCAAGTTGCTTATGACACTGACCAGGTTGTTAAAATTTTTTATATGAAACAGGAGGCCAGACAACCCAAGTTGCGCTGTTGACCAATTTTGGCTTTGGGAAACCAAAACGCGATCCCACTTTAATGCTTTCTTCATGAGGACAATTGCACGAGACCCGGACAGTAAGTATTTCGATATCCAATAATTTTAACATACAAAGCATACAAAAGTAGAAATTATACATACATCACAAACAACGCAAGCCTTTGCACAAACATGTTTTATTTTGTATATATAATTCTAAGTATCTATGTTCTTATGTATATGTTTGTGCAATAAAGAGTTTTTATTATTATTACATCAATTTAACTGCTTATCCCATTGAGAATCAAACCCACCAACTTGTTAGTCAACTATTAGTTATAAAGCAGATTTTCTTTTGTCAAATATTCCGTACCTGTGAGATACATGAAGTTCGTGCACTGCTCGCAGCACCACCTTAAGTTCTGAACGTTCGTCCTTCAATACATGAGCTGCTAGACGTCGCAGCGCAAGCGCAGTGTTGAACAACAGTGCGCCATCGTGGGGCGCCACGCGTCTCGCCCGCAATAAGGTAGCGCGAGCAGCTCGCGATCGCCCTGCGAGCGTTTGCGCGCGCGCAAGCCACGTTAACCACTCCACGTCATGTTGTTTTCGGAATTTGCGAATACAGTTTTCGTACTGTAATAACATATGGATAAATTATTTAACATGTATATATATAAACATCTGTATTTCATTTAAATAAAACACTTTAACGTTTTAAAACGCGATATATTAGTTAAATTTATTTGAAAATGATTTTTAACTTCGGCCCGACGTTTTGGTTAAAAATCATTTTCGAATAAGTTTAACTAATACATCGCGTTGTAAACCGTTAAAGTGTTTTATTTAAATGTGTACTACTCGCGTAAACTATAGACAGTATCTGTATTTCAATTAATTGTACATAACAATGAATAATAATGGATTCTTATTTTTAGTCTTGGAAATATCTCAAAGGATTCTATTTAAGATTGCCATTTTTTTTTGCTTTATCAGTAATAAATGTCTTATATTTAAAATGACATGTCAATATAATACTTAGACAAGTAGGGGGGTTTAGTCTTATGCCCTAGTTGACCGAAAGAATTAATTATTTTTTCGAATTCAAACCTAGGGCCCATTAAACTATTGGGGCTACAAAGACAGAATATTATATGTACGATCTACGATCGAAAAAGCTTAATATACATTATAACATACCATTTGTATGGCGTTGATGTATTGCTTCTGTTCAACGTAAATGTGAGCGATGTTCATCCAGACGTCTGGAAAATCGGCCGTCGCTTCTCGGACTTGAGCAAATATATCGCGAGCTTCATTCACACAGCCCTGCAAGTTATTGAATTATTAAGATTGCAAAATTTCATTCTCTCAGTTCCTGTCTGATTGGATAGAAAAGGACGATGAATGCATAAAAAAATATGCTTTGCTTAGTATTAAAAAAACAATTAGATTTTAAACCATAGACTTAGAATAACTAAGATTGAAGACGTGTTAATTCATTAAATTATTTAAAACAAGAAATATATATATGAATGTCAGATTACATATATCTCGAATCTTTGTATTTTATTGAATGGACTCACCTTATGCGCGAACACACAGCCGATTCCATTCGCAGCCCAAATATTCTTCGGATCATTCTTAAGCACCTGTTTGTACATCGCTAGGGCTCGCTCTTGATGACGCTTCTCTTTGTCCTTCTCTCTGCACGGCTGGTGCAAAGTTTGAAGCCATACGTTACCTGTTAAATGTTCATAAAATATTATTTTTTAGTTGCTACAAATGCAAAAAAATATTATTTGGCACTAAATGTATTTTGTGTTACATGGTAGTATTTGAAATAAAACACTTTAAAAATAAGTTAAAATAAGAATAACTTATAGGAAAAATCAATTTAATAAACTCTCGGGAAAATTTTACAGTTCAAAATATTAAAAATTCCAATACATATAATGTTTCATACCAAGAGCTATCAAGGAGTATGCGTCACTAGAAGTAGATGCGTTTTGCAATATTTTCTCGAACTTCTTTTGGCCGGGCCCCCACTCCTGCTGACCTAAATGCAGGTTGCCTAGTAACGACCAGGAATCTGCGTGTTCCAAGTTCACTTTCAGAGCCTCCTTAAACCAATCAGAGGCTTCGTAGATTTGACCCTTTCCACGAGCCATGCAACCCAGCCTGAAAAAACATTAAACAAATATAAAAATATCTGACTTAAAGTGTACTAAGAAATCTATGTTAAACATTTGTTTAAAACGTTTGGTTGAAAATACAACTGGTTTCACTTTATGAACAAGAATAAAAAAGGGGAAAAGCGATGAATTAAGTATGGTGAAAAATATTTATTGTGTTGGTCTAATAATAGTCTAAATGTAGGTTCAAACCCAATATGTTTGTAACGATTCTATAATTTTCTTGAAACATGTTGGACTACATCTGAAAATCTGGATATTTCATGGGGAGTGGGAATATATGGCGATAATCTACCCGGGTCACGAGCCACCGTCACAGATGAAATAGCCGTGGAGTTTAATCACGTTTCGGTTACATTCGGTAGATTTTAAAATATAGAAAGCCAAAATAAATCGGTAATGTTATTTGGTTGGGGTATTCCACATTCCATCAAATAAGCCCCCTGCTTGTATGTCCTACCTTGTTTTAAAAAATAGTGCTTTGAATACTGTCTATAGTTTACGCGAGTAGTACACATTTAAATTTATTTGAAAATGATTTTTAACTTCGGTCCGAAGTTTCGGATGCTTTGCAGCAGCCGTTGTCACGGGGAGACACCTCCTCGTTAAAGTGTTTTATTTAAAAGTGCTTTAAACTTAATAACATACGCAATATCTTTATATAAGTCATCCTATATTCTATGGCAACTTTACTAAGCCACCGAATTTATTAAACTCATATTCTAAATAAAAACATACCTTAGATAACAGTCAATATAATTAGGATGTTCCTTCAATATGTCTTTATACAATTTCTCTGCTTTGTTGTACATGCATAGCGCTTCATTGAGTCTCGCCAGATTGTACATTGTGGTCACCGCAATGGAGTTATAGTATTGCGCATCTAAAGTCTCCGCGTCTGCTTTTTCTCTGGAATATAAATCATAAAACGTAAGTATATGTTTAAACATGTACATGTTACATTAAGCATGCGCATCTGGGTTCGAATCAAGGAAAATTGTTTAAAATGTTGTTACAAATATTTCGCGTTTCACTATTAATAGTGTGCTTTCGTAAACAATAATACTGCGTGTGTGATATAAAGACTGAAATGACATATTTTTGTTGACAACTATAATAACACAAAACATATAACAACCTGACCTAGAACCATAAAGATTGTAATGTAATTGACGTTTATCCCACCTTTGACCTGTGTGCTTTCCTTTGAGTAGAGAACTACAAAGTATAAAGAATAGAAGGCATCAAACCTCATCAATAAGCTATGTTAAATAACTGGTAATATAGGTAAATTATGATATGTTAAACGGAAACTATTATGTATTGAAAAGTAACTATCTACCACATATATTTACTATAAAAACAAACCTTTCCAAAGCCTCTTCCAAGTATTTCATGGCTTCAGTTAAATTGCCAAGTCTGTAGTGAAGAGCTGCGACATTGTTCAGTATCTCAGCTGGAATGTCAGCATTGACCTTCTCCTTTAGAATCTTCATCGCTGTACTATAAGCGTGTAATGAGCCCTGAAGAAGAGTTACAGTTAAAATGCAAATGTTTGAGAATTTTAACTAACCAAATACATTTGTAAAAATACTACTATGTCAATAGCTATTATAATTATTTAGTATTGTTTTAACATACAATATTTAAAGAATATACATAAAAACATATTCAAAGTACAGAAAAATGTATAAGCTTTCTAAGCCAGTGTTGAGTTTGAGTCTTACTAGAGCTTTTGCTTTTTAATATATAAAATGAATTGGTTTTGGGCAGCAAAGGTAATTAAAACAGTTTTGCCACGATCTTTGATCTAATGTTAGCTAATAATCAACACGTTGCACGTTTAGGCTCCATTTGGTCCAACATGTTGGACTTCGTCTGGAAATCTAGATATTAGATGGCTGTGAGTGGGTATTTAATAGGTGGGGAAATGGGTGACATAGTCAGCTGATGGTGTGGGCATCACCAGTCACAAATTAACATGATATGGGGAAATGGGTGAAATGGTCAGCGGACAACGTGGACTGTTCAATCACCCAGCCGAAGGTGTCCCCGATAGAATAATCAAATTAACATGATATTAATCATCAAAAAAGAAACAAATTCAAAAATAACAAACAATGTAAATATCTATTTTTACCTGTAAATCGTTTTGTTCCAAAATTTGGGCCAACTCAATCCAAGCCTCTACATCATCTGGAAACTGTTCAGTCACTTTCTTTAAGTGTTGCCTCGCAATATCCCTCTGTAATTGTGATGGTGAGTTTGCATACAAAGACCCCAAGATCTTCATTGTTTCATAGTTACCGGGCTGTGCTTTTAAAACTTTCTCAAAACATTGAGCTGCCTGTAGGTAGGAGAAATAGTTAATTAAATCAAGTACTCATATTTATTATATCAAGGGTATTAACACTTATCACTTGTTACTTACATTTTCTGTGTCTCCTCTATAAATATACATTTGTCCAAGACCATAATGTGGCAACACAAAATTTGGTGGGGCAAACTGTGTCGCCTGATAATAATACTGGAAGGCTTGATCGCAGTCACCTTGAGCATGGAAAGCTCTCGCTAAATGATGGCAACTTTCAGCTCTCATTGCTTCATTTTCTGTATTGTGAAATGCATGCAGTGCCAGGTGTTGGACTTTTCCATAATCCTGTAAACATTTTACACTGTTACTTACAACATTTAGCAAAATTTAGATATCAACATGATGTACAGCTCAATTTACATTAAATGATGAGCAGTACTTCCCCAATGTGTAAACTGTAGAAAGTCGAAATGTTTTATTTTGTAAAACATACCCACGTCTTACAAATATAGCAGGTTACCTTCACAACTTATAGGTACTAAAGACTCATCCAGTTAACTAATAGTTCAATAAGAATCTAACCTTTTTAAAAAAGAAGTGATTAGCCAAGTGATTAAGAACCATTGGATTCTTGGGATCAATTGCATATGCTTTAGACAGCATGATAACAGCCATTTTGTTTGATTCACTCTCTTGTTGGTTTAGTTTCAATATGGAGAGACCAACTAGTGCACCTACACACTGTGGGTCCAGTTGCAGTGCCCTCTCAAAAGCCATTCTAAAAAAATAGTCTCATTATATACAATGCCAAATATAATTATTATATTATTATAATATAAATATTTACTGCCTCTGTAGCCAAATAGTTAAACGTGTTGCCTAGCATTGCGTTACTGCGAGAGGTTGAGTCGGATACTAACTTTATTACTTGCATGTTAGAGAATGGATCAGTGAAAAGGACACGAAAATGTGTTCGCCCCATGCCCCACGAGGGGGAAACAGGATTTCACACAATATAAGTCTCTAGTGAGAGTTAATAAAACTATTATTATATTTCACACTTTAAACTAGTTAAATAAAAAATAAAGCTATTGTTTATGAAAGGGAAACCTATTAATCATACATTACTTTAAAAGAAATTTAATAAAGCTAGTTGTATTAAAACATAAGCATACCTGGCTTTTTCTTGATTATTCAATTTCATGAAACAATGTCCCATGCCCAAACGCAGCGCTGCAGGGCTATTAGGATTTGTCCTTAAAGCTTTCTTATAAAAGGCTAAAGCACCTCTATAGTCTTTGCGGTTAAAGGCAATACATGCTTTTCCAAGTAGAGAAGGAACACTGTTGGGCGATTGGTTGAGAACGAAATTGAATTGAGTATCTGCCTGTCCCATTTTGTCACCTTCCAGTAGGCAGAAATAAGCACGGCCCAAGAGGTGGTTCTAAAAGTATATGTAATGATCTATCAAGTTTCATTAGTTAACATGTAGTGTCTCAGCTTCAATGATTGTTATTATATTTAGATCGCGAGCTGTATAATCTATAAGTACAAGTATGATAATCTCACCTGATCATACATGAAAATTTTGTCTGCCATAGTGTAAAGCAGAGTGGCTTTAGTGAAAAGATCTTTCTTTTTATCTTTGGATTTTTCTTTATTTGCTTCTTGGACATAATAAGCAGCGAGCATATCCAAGGCTCGCATTTGATCCCTTTCAAAATCCCTGTAGTCAATGTTGGCGTCCACACGGGACGCCTCCAATATTTTGAGGAAGTCATCGATCTTCTTTTGTTTGTAGTATGCAAGCTACGAAAAATGAGCATGGTGATTTGCTTACCAGGATTATAAACACGTATACACATAAAATAGGTTATAACTTACTGCAACATTGATCCAAACGTTAAGTTGGGATCGTTCTTGTTGTAAAATGCTAAGTACTTCATCGCCCGATGGCAATTGCTCAGGATCAAGTTCTATCACCTAGAGAAAGCACAATAATACAATACCACCTATATACCACGAAATAACTTTGAATTTTGTAAACATCACGATACAAGTACCTCATCGGTGCTCATCAACGGAATTTCGAGCGACATTTCGTTTCTTCTTTTGTTCAAACGAAATCTTCAAATTGTTTGCATTTTATCTAAGTATTTCTACTAGTTGAAAATAATTATTGCGTAAAGAACTATCACGATTTGGCGTCCAAGCCAAGATTATGAAGTCCAGGCTAAACTAAAAACAGAAATTGATTACTGACAGTTGACATTAATCAATTTCTTCCATAGATAACTGACAGGGACAAGATGATGATTTTAATCATAAACGTCCGTCTTACTTTGTTAATTGTTTACGTTTAGTATCTGTGTCGTGTTATTTTAAGTTAATTATTCAAATACTTTAGTTTCTTTTATTAACATTACGAAAACTTATATTATTATGTTATATTCTTTTTAAGCGTTCATTTTAAGGTTTCTAGTATTGTTGTTTACAGTAGTTAAAAATTGAAGTTTAATTTGAAAGTTAGGAGGTAGTTTTTATTTATTTGTTCCGTCAAATAAAGAAGTGAGCTGAAAATAACGAGATAACATTAGATAGAAAATACTAGAAATGTGTAATGCAAATGAACCTGGCAAAAGAATAACATATAGAAGAAAGAACCCTAATTTAGTACTTGAAAAATGTCTGCAAAAACTGTATGCTGAAGCTAGGGAAAAGAATAGCAAACATGAACCTGTGTTGCGGGAAGCAATGTCATCCCTATCTAAATATCCCTTACCATTAAAATCCGGCGCAGAATGTGCAATACTCAAGGGTTTCAGTAGACCTTTATGCATGCTTCTAGATAAATATTTGTCAGAATCTTGTTTAAAAGATAATAATAAAGATATCCCCCATGCTGAACACTATGTCTCTCCAATGAAAAGCTCAGATGCAGGTGCAAGCACTGATGTTAATGGCGAGGGATCGCAAGGGGATAAGCAATTATGTAAGAAAGGTACTTACAAACCAGCTTTTCGATCTGGTGGTTATGGCATACTTTTGGGCCTTTTAGAACATACAAGGAAAAATTTAAGTAATGCCTTAAAAAAAGAGGATTTGATAGAAATAGCTCAGAAGTATTGTGAAGAGTCATATGTAGTCTCTAAATCAGTAAGATATTCAGCTTGGTCTAGCATAGCTAGGTTACTCACCAAGGGTCTAGTTAAAAAGAGTGGAGGTAAGAAAATTGAATATTCACTGACGGAGGAAGGGTTGTTAGTGGCAGATAAATTGTGGGAAGAAAATGAAAATAAACCTTCAAGTAATGATGTAATTTTCAACAATTCTACTAGTAAAGTATTAAATGTGCTCAGTGAAAACGTCCATCATGTAAAGTTTTCATTTAGAGAAGATATGGGTAAAATTAATGAGAAATATGGATTAGATGACCATATTATTAACATGCCTCCAGGCTCCTATGATATTATATTAATAATTGATAAGAATGAGAAAAATGGGTATGATTTTTTTCTTCTTTCTTTGAGTAAATGTATACTGTACAATATTTATCACTTGCTATATGTACTCTATTGTGTAAAAACTTGTATTTTTTAGAAACTCAGATAGACAAGATCCTTTTCGAATATATCCAGACCTCAGGTATGAATCCAGAAGTCTTAAAGTAGGAGACTTCACTTGGGTTGCTAGACATAAAGAATATGGTTGGGAACTGGTTTTGCCATATATCGTCGAAAGGAAGAGAATGGATGATTTAGGAGCTAGCATTAAAGATGGCAGATTTCACGAGCAGAAATTTAGGCTAAGAAAATGTGGCTTACAAAATGTGTTCTACTTAGTTGAGTCACATGATAAAAACAAACATGTTGGTCTGCCCCTACCATCGCTCATGCAAGCTCTAGCTAATACTAGAATTCAGGATGGATTTAAAGTGTACTTTACAGATTCATTAATCAAAAGTCAGAGATTTTTGGCCATGATGACGAAACGTATAATAGTAGAATATAAGGTAATATTTTATAACCTTTTACAGGCTACAAAATGTTTTAAAAAACATAAAAATACTCTTATCACAAAATTTATATTTATTCTTCTTTTTCAGAATAAACAGTTACGCGGTACTAATGATACAGTTAATGGACTACTAATGACTTTTGATTATTTTAATAAATCATCAGTGAAGTCCAAAATTTTGACTGTCACAGAAATGTTTCTTAAGGTGTTGCTTCAACTAAAAGGGATGTCTGTTGAGAAAGCATTGGGCATAATCAAGGTGTATAAGACACCAAAATCTCTCATATCAGCTTACCAAGACTGTGATGAAAAAGTAGGAGCAAATCTCTTGGCTAATTTAAAGTATGGTGATTTAAATAGAAACTTAGGCCCAAGTCTTAGTAAAGCAGTTTTTCACTTGTTTACATGACTTTTAAGTGTTGTAAATTATTTAATAGTGAATACTGTTATCTAACAGCAAGTTCCTATCCACTTATACTTAAATCATGATGTACATATATTTGTTTACTAAAGGAGAAATAAACAACAACTCAGTTTAAACATTTATTAAACACAACTATTGAATGTGACACAAGTGATGCCTGAATAGTCTATTTAAAATAGTTGAGATTTAAGAGCACTTTAGGATGGAATCAACTTTACCAAATACAGTTATCGGCGTAAATATCATTTTTTATCTAAATTAAAATCAAGATATCTAAGTTCAAAAAGGCAAGTAAAACAAAATGAGATTCATCTAATATTTTCATTAGACCATTTTGCCATCACACTCCTATAGATTGACATGTACAAATATTATACAAATGGTGCTGTGTTCTAGGTGAACCTTTTAGATAATGGAATTAAAAATTAGCAAGTGTTCCAAAAGATGGCACAAAACTGTACAGGAATGAAGAAATAATGCCTCGAACATACATTGCACAAAAATATTCTATTAAAAATTTCTATACATTTTATATATTTCAGATAAAGTATAATTTATCATGCCATAAACTATAAAGTTCTATTTAATTTGAATTCAGATCTTAAAATAACAATTTAAATAGAGATTCACATAGCTGCCAATATATACACATTGTGATAAAAAGGCTACATTTTAAATTATAGGTAATGCCAAAAATATGGATTGAAATATATAATTAAGCTCTAATATAAACATAGGAAATTATAGTTAAACTAAATAAATTCGAACAGTTATTATTATAGTAATAACCAGCCACCATATTATATGTCTACAGAAAATAATTACAATGAATAGAACCCTGTAAAAGTACTGTTTACTTTTGATACAAATAGTGCACTTGTAAAAACAAAAATAATATCTTCTTTAAGAAAAAACTTCTGCTGCAATATTATAGACTGTCACTTTGAGGAAAGACTTATGTAAATTAAACGTTTTTAGATCAAATCCAGAATTACACCAATGCCATATCAAAAATCTATAATGTTGCAGCAAAACAGAAAAAATAAAAATATAAACTTAAAATAGCCACGGTGCACTTACTTCACTTAATAATAGTAATTTCTTATAGGGTATGGTAGTTTCTTTCAGTTTGGTTTTTGTAGTATTTAAAGCCCATGAAGCCAATTGCCAAGAGACCTAGGGTCAATATTATTCCTCCAACAAAGCTAGCACCGTCAAATCTGAAAGTAAAAATCGTGTTTTATCTGTAGTTTAGTAAGTAGTAAAATATATGTATTAGTTACATCTATTTCTTATTTATTTTCGTCACTATCCAAACTTTCAGTTGCTGTGGTCATAGGTCAATAAAAATCATGTAAAAGTAACTAATTCTTCTTGTTGGCACACTATATGTACCATAAAAATCTGTTAATGCATGGATCTGCATAAAGTAGTACTATTGTACAGGTGACTCTTAATCCATAAAGGTGGAAGATCACATTCTATCTATTCCTCTACACACAGTAAAGGACTCCTTTTAATTAATTGGTAATATCTCTGTGAAAAAATGTTATTTACTTACCCTGGTCTTGCCTCAATAGGATGTGCTGCAGCGTCATCTTTAGGAGGCACAGCTGATGTTGCCTGGGTTGGTTTAACGGTTACATTTTCTTTTGGAGTAGCAGAAGGTACTGGTTTTGGTGCTTCTTCAGTCTTTGTGGTACTTGGTGCTTCCTGAGGTTTTTCTTGAGGTGATACCTTGGTTGGCTCTTTTACTGCATTTTCTTTAGGAGTTTCCTCCTTCTTCTCTGTGGTTTTGTTATCAGGGGTTGGGCTTGGTGCACTAGATTTCTCAGTAACAGGACTGGCAGCTTCACTTGCTTTCTCTGGTTTAGTATCTTTTTCAGCTAATGTGGGAGCAATAACAGTGCCATTCTTTGTGCTTGGTACCACAATTGGTATTGGAACTGTAGGGATATCAGTTGTTTTTGGTACTTTTGCATCAACAGTAGAATTTAATGTTTGTGGTTGAGCTTGTGCGGCAGCTGAAAAACACAAGTTTACTTTGTTTAATTATTACAAATATCAAAACAACTCTATTGTTCATTTATATAACCTATACAATTCCTTTAGTTACCAAAATGTTTGCACATTCAGAAATAATCTGTAAAAGTGTATCACTCTTAAAAGTGGATATATAATACGTAGTTAACATGTATAGGCTGGCACAAAACTGGTAAGATACAAGTTATGCAAATTATTGAGAAACACATATTTCATAGTAAATGCTGATTTAATATTCATATGATTGTTATCTATTTGGAATTCAGTTTTATTATTAGTCTGTGATTTTTTTATAAAAGTAGGAAGTTCAGACTATTCCTCCAAATTTTCAAATCATGAGTATTATCATTGAGCGTGTCATGTCGACAGACAAAGGCTATTAACATACTTATTAATATTAAGGTTAAATAGAAAACAATCAAATGTTATAGTTTGAGAACATTTATAGAAGGACTAAAATAAGAAAAAAATATGCTGAAAACACTCCATAGCATTCTTTCACTAAATGAAACTTTAATAACAGCCTAAAATTAGAAATATCTCTGTAGGAGACACAACATTCAGAAGTGCAGTGAAGTGTGCATCATTCTCATGCATGCCATTCATTTGAAAGTTGCACTTGTTGTAATCCACTTACTTGTTACATGATATCTCAGATATTACATTAAAATAGTGATCATATGTCTCATGGATTAGTTTTAAGTTACTGCAGTTTGTTTTAAGGTTTATGAGTTTCAAATATTTTTCTGTTATATGTAGTATGTAGAATAAAATGCAGTATTAAGTAATCATAGAAATGTTCATTGCTTTAAAAATAAAGCTGTGTTATTTATATGGACACTTATTCATGAATATTCATCAAGATTGTAACTTGTTTTAAGAGTAACTTGTAAAGATTCAAAAGAATTGAATTGAAGAAGTAAAGACTTATCATATCTTTCATAATTGCTTATGATAGATAGTACTATCACATTTAATTCACGTCAAATTTAAATAAGGAAAACCAAACTCAATGAACATCACAAAATAAATCAATACAAGGAAACATTGAGAAGTCTGGTAATAGCACCAGATAATTATTCATTATCACGTGGTCAGGATGGACCATGATTTTTCCCCAACAGTTTGAAGCAAAAACAAATAATAAGCAATCAGTGATTGAAGATAAAGTTTTTAATGGGTACATACAAGGTATAATGAAACTATTAATATATAATATTAGCTAGAGGAATAAAATTAATAAAACAAAGAACATAAGTGAACTTGATAAAATTAAAATCTTTCAAATGTTTATATAATACTGCAAACATTGTTGCATTTATTACACTAGTTTTTGATAAAAGCTCTTTGAAATATATGTTGGTATTCTAAACATATTAAAGTTGAACAGTTATAAGAATATTTAGATGGTTAACAAAATTGTCAGCCATTTTATTAAACATATTCTTGTGAAATACAGTCGACTAATAATGGCATTTTGCGTTAAGGTAATAATTAGTAATTACAGTTATCTATCCTAAACTCATTAAATGTGTTGCAATGGACGTAGAATCTTGTTTCATAAATAACTTGTTAAGCAATCAACGTTTGACCGGATCTTCGTGAGATTATTTGAAAGAACGCAATATATGGTTGAATTGATGGACGCCAGATACTCAAATTCTTACCTTCATTACTAGGTTTGCCGAAGCACAGAGAAACTGATAGTAAACACAAAAGGATTACTGCCTTCATATTTGTAATTACAGATCACCGAGGATGAGATTCGTCGTATAATCGCCTTCGCGAATTTTTCACTTCGATTTCCTTATTTTTTACAAAAGTAGAAAAGCTACACAGCGACTAGCGTTAATACGGCGTCACAGTAAATGCAAATGGCAAAATCAATGCGTCAAATATTGAAATTAGTGATTAGCTGTGGACTGTGGTGATTACGACAGCGAGTGTTGCCATTTACAAGTTCGAATTAGAACAAAACTAACAAAATATAAATAATGAAATTTAAGAAAAACATAATATTGAATTTAAAACATGAGAAAAAAATACATATTCGATAATTGTCTACGAATTTGTTTATATTTCTGTTATAATTAATATTCTGGCTTCTCTTAGTCAACATATTGTCTTAATGATATATTTAATTTCTAAATATGAATAACTCAGGTCCCAAAATATATTAAATCTAAATTAATATAAACAATAAAAAAATGTCCATATATTCGTAGGCGCTTTTAAAATAGACGTTATCGTATGTATTTCTGTACTTGTAATGCGGATTCATTCATGTATTTATAATTCTTTAAATGTAACGGAAAAAAACATAATACAATTAGGTTTAGGTTTAAAGAATTTATTCTCGAAGATTATATATACAATCACTTATGAGAATAAACATAGCTTATTATATGAAATACTTACAGTATTACAATTATACAATTAATATTCTTAAGTCTTATCTGCAATATATAGGGAATACAAATGCCAACGATAATGTGTTTTTTTGTAAAACAATGCCTAAAACATTTGAAAGCAAGAGTAAAATATAAGATAAATAAAATTGATGTAATATTTTTATTTTAACAAATAATATAATATAATAAGTAGTCGAGTAAGTACTTTTTTCTACTGCGATCTTTCATCCATAATGTACTCTATCCTCCTCGTAATAAAATTTGATATGAAAATATTAGGTCGCGACCTCACGAAGATTTATGAATACAAAAAAGTTTTTATGATTCGTAAAATATAAGTTTCGCGAAACAACACCCTCGAAATGAACAAAAAGGTGATTTGGACAGTGCCGCGGGTACTTTATGTTTGCTTATAATTTGCACAAAACCTTTGCCTTTTTACATTATGAAAATGAAAGCTTCAATTATGTGGGATTTTTTTTGTTTCCTATTATTTTCGCTTAAGGCATTTGGCTTTCGGCGCAAAGCTTTTCGTTTTAGATTTCCAACATAAAAAAAACAGTATAAAAAGGCAATTTTTCCAGAAATCAAGTAGTACCTATATATGTACTACGATTGGTGACATTAACATATTGTTTGTGGTATCCTGTTTACAAGTTTTTAATGTACAATGACTTTACAAATTCAATTTCGTGTTATTAGATCAGGGACCTCTTAAGTAGGTATCCGTAATATAAGCCATTTCCAGTACAATTTCTAAGTATTTTTTAGTTTCTCATAGAACAATTCTGCTTTCAGTTTTTCTATGGGAGCAGCTCTCATCTTCTCTTACTGTATTGTGTCAACTGACTGTTTAAGTTTGTGTGTCGTTTATATTTACCATCAATAATAAATTCTTTAACATAACAAATAATGTGACATTTTATAGTTATTATAACAACTTACAGTTATTAAAAAATGTTACTACCCCATGAATACATGCCATGAACAGAATGAAAACCATTTAAATTAAGAACAATGTTGATAGAGTTGCTTTGGCATCGATAGTAATCTTGACGAATGGAGTAGGGTTGACTGTTGTCGTTTGATTCGTGACACTTGTGTGTTAATAACAATATGTACATCATAGACAACACAAGTACCTAATTTGTATTACGGAAAATCATTGAACAAAACATAATGGAACCTTTGAAATATACCAGTCATTTCCTTAAAGTTACAAGTACTTGGAAATTTTACTCGCTCGAATAATTCAATTAACGCTAGTCATTAATTAGAAAATATTAATTATTCAATCCTTAAGTATAATTTCGGGGTAAGTTTAATGAAGTCTGAGTAGTTACTATTAAATAATATATAAAACAAGCCAAACGAATATAAATATTTGTCATTATTAGTATAACGATTGTTAAATACTGTCTATAGTTAACGCGAGTCGTACACATTTAAATAAACACTTTCAAACGTGATATATTAGTTAACCTTATTTCTATTATAAAAGTTAAATAAGTTTTACTAATATATCGCGTTTTAAACCGTTAAAGTGTTTTATTTACATAACGATTGTTTTCCAATTTTGGCGCTTGCTTTGCTAGCTGCACCTATAGGTAGTAATTTTAGCATAATAATTCGTTTATATAAGAATTTAATAGTTACTTGTTATTTTTTAGTCTTATCACATTTTAAATATGAAACTGCTTCTTAGTATGCTCTTATCTATTATCTTGTATATAATGTTTTTTATTCTTTTTTTATTTTACAAGATAACTCATGATTAAGTCAGCTTAGAAATAAATTACAATGGTTTATGAACTATGTTACTTAGGAATAACGATTATTGTTATAATATTAGGATCTAAGAAACAATGACTTTGTGATGAAACTTAAAAAATTAGCACTAAATTTAGCAGGGAACCCTGAGCTCAAGATCTGGTGGACAAAAAGAGGAAATTCCTCGCAGAGCACTGGCTGTCATTTAGGAGTTTGTAAAGAAATTTATTTTCACATGAAATTATAATACTTGCTATGTATACGAACAGGGCGATAGATTTCAAACGTAACTTCTGAAAGTAAGTCAACATCAATCCACGACTTAGCGCAGCTTCGATAGCAAGAGAAACATAGGATCGCAGATAAACGTTGAAATCTACGGTTTCGGAAAGATTTATAGAGGGGATCATAGTCGATGAGATATCTGGGAAAACCGGAATATATCCATTAAAAGATATACCTGTCGTTCGCTTTAACTGCCTCTGTAGCTCAGTTGTAATCGCATAGCCTTCATATAACGCGCGAGGTATTTTGGGGACTTGTATTATTGGGGACACAAAGAGATGTTTTTACGATCGACGACAACAGTCGGTTGGTGGTAACCATCCTCAATAAATAAATACTTACATAAATTGATTAATTAAATTACATTATAAAAATTGTGTATAGATTATTTTAAAATATGTTTTAGACAAACAAAGAAAAGTGGCCTTGTTAAATCTATACTAATATAAATCTGAAGAGTTTGTTAATTTGTTTAAACTAGCTTTGAAGATTAAGCAGCAAGGATGGCGGGACGCGACCGACATCTTAGGAAACAGCTTATATTTATAAAGAAGAAGGGGTGGTTTGCAATAACAAATTTCGATGCCCGAAATTACTGTTTTACACGGACGAAGTCGCTGCCTCACCTAGTTATTTGCCTCAAGTATGCTGTTTATATATTTAGTGTATGTCTTATGCGTAAATTTGTTGTATAGGATGATGATAGAATCTTTAATATTTTCAATACAAAAGGATAAATTAAACGCCTGCCAACCAAACAAAACAAAATCATTTTGCAATTAATTACAAACGTTAGCGTAACAAAATCTATTCCAATAAATCAATTCTAACTCACGCTCGCACTCCACAAATGGAAATTAATGATTGACAAAATTGCTAATACAAATGCAAATTCTGGATAGCCATTGAAATGCTGGGAATTCGAAACAGTTGCAAATATAACAATATCCCTTCTTCAATCTTGAATAATGTTCGTAGCGATTTGAATTTCGTTTCGAGCCTTTGTTTTATATTAATCGGCGATAATTGTTTTAGAATTACTTACACCTAGTTTAATCTTCAGGTGTTAATAAACATATAATGTAGTAATGATGTTTATTTATAATTAGGTAAGTTTTTATCGTTTTTCAGAAGCGGGCAAAGTTACGGTAGGAATGAAAAACTTATATTTAAGAAAATGTATATAGTAATTGTTCGAAAGTTCTAGAAGCTCGTTTCCTAAAATAATACGTTACATTTACCGTATTTTTATACGCCTACAGATTTACACAAGACGTCCCCGTAGTTCGCTGTTGTATTTGCTCAGGCGATATTAAAAGGTATAAAGCTATCGCTTTTTTCAACATTCCTTTAATATTCGGAAATATTATGAAAATTCAAGTTGTGGAGATTTTCAAGAGAACCGGCATGGAAAATAGTTTTACGATCGATTTAACGGCCGATGAATATTCTCAAAGCGGTCGCATCTGACCCACGTTTTCATGAATTTTCAACGGACCATCATGCACGAATATCTCGCAATACCTACGTCACATTTGATGGGTATATTCGAGAATCATTTGGAATGAATAATCTACTTCTTAAATCTTCAAAACGGAATTTAATTATTTTTCCATATTATTGTTTTTTGATAGAGGAATTAAACAAACTTTGGGTTCATTTGACGGTAAGTACCAGCCGTAATTTTTTTTGTTTGTTTTATTGTGACTTTTGCATATCCACTGACTGAAACTGAAACGCTATTAAATTTGAAGGCTTTTTCATCTGTGGACGTTGGTTCATGACCCGGATGGATTCTTTTTATATCTCTAGCAACCATTTAAAATCCAGATTGTTACAGAAAACCAATTATAATGAACATTTTCTCTAAATCAATGGTAAAATTTGTTTCTTTTAAAGAAATATAACAATTAAGTCATATACATTTGATGCTATGCTTAAATATGTGTTATGTATTTTGATATAGGTTCAAAGCTAGGATTTAAACTAACACAATATCTAGTTAGGTTTGAAGTTGGAGTTGCCAGATGGAACTTTAGAACTACTGTAAACGCAACTTAGTTTGTCCATTGTCGTATGTAATCTGTGGTTGCATCTGGAGAACTGAAGCCTACTATTAATATTATACAGAAGGTACATGTTTTGTATCCTTGCAGCTGAGTTTTATTTTATTTAATGTTTAGATATTATCTCCCTATATCTCCTTGCTAGCTGTTGTAACTTGTGACTGCTTTCGTAGCTAAGCACGTGGGTTAGAATCCCGGAAAA